AAGTGGATCAAGGACCTCAACATAAATCCAGCTACTCTGAACCTGCTAGAAGAGAAAGTAGGAAGTAGTCTTGAACACATTGGCATAGGAGATCACTTCCTAAATATAAAACCAGTAGCACAGGCACTGAGAGAAACAATCAATCAATGGGACCTCTTGAAACTGAGAAGCTTTTGTAGAGCAAAGGATACGATCAACAAGGCAAAGCGTCAGCCTACAGAATGGGAAAAGATCTTCACCAACCCCACATCTGACAGAGGACTGATATCCAGAATATTTAAGGAACTCAAGAAATTAGACATCAAAAAGACCAACAGTCCAATTAAGAAATGGGCTATAGAACTAAACAGAGAATTCTCAACAGAGGAAACTCAAATGGCTGAAAGACATTTAAGGAATTGAGCTATCTTATGGATGCTGGGATCCAAATTCTGGTCGTCGGCAAGAGCAGTACGCAGGAACCCTATACTCTAACTAACACCTTCTGGAGCCTAGGAGCCCAGAGCCAGGAGCAGTGGCTGGTGGCACATGACTGCAATCCCAGCTCTCAAGAGGCTGAGGCAGGAGGGTTTTCGTTTAATTTACCCCATCAGCAGTGCCTCTGTCTGTTTATGGAAACACCATTCTATTTCTAAATTGCTGAGAATTCTTACCGTAAATGAAGCCTGAGCTGTGTCAAGTGAGTTTAGTGTAATTTGATAGGATCATGTAGCTTTTTCTTCTTTAGAATGTCATAATGGTGGTTCACATTGATTGTTTCTTGTACTTTGATACAGGGTATTATTTTAATGTATTGCTAGATTCAGTTTGTTAACATTTTGTTGGGTGTTTTGGAAAGCATTCACAAGGCGTATTATTTTCTTTTTTAAGTATTTAATTTTGTGTGTGTATGTATATGTACCACATGTGTGCAGGAGCCCATAGAGGTCAGAGGAACAGGAGTTACACGTGGCTGTGAACCCCATGTGGGTGCTGAGACCTGAACCCAAGTCCTCCAAAGACTGGTAAGTGCTCTTAACTGCTGAGCCACCTTTCTAGCCCCAAAGTATATGGCTTCCTCTCCTTATAATGGCTTAGGCTTTAGTTCCAGATTAATCCTGGCATCATGACATGTGCCTCTCCCCTCTCCTACCTGTGGAAAAAAATTGTGCAGAATTTGTGTTTGCTCCTTTGCTTTGTTTTGGTAGAACTCATCAGAGAAACATTCTAAGCTCCTGTTTCAGGAGATGTGAAGCTGTGGATGAGATTTCTCTATGGGTTGCCTTCACTTCAAGGGAATGCTGTAACTGGTGTTTTGCAAAATACTGCCTTTCACCCAAGCCTTGAGCAGGTATTGTTTTTCTTTGATCTGCAAACATCCCCTTCCTCATTCCTGGCATTGGTGATCTTTGACCTCTCTGTTTCCAGGCTTATCCATTTTATTGATCTTTGTCAGTCTTGCTAGAGACATTGATCTATTTATAGAGCTTTCTCTCTCTTTGTTTCATTGATCCCTCTCCATTGTTTTCCTGTTTTCAATGTCAAGGATTTTTGCTTTTTAATTTTATCATCCCCCTTCTGTGTACATTGTGTCTTACTTACTTTTCTATTGCTGGGATAAGACATAATGACTTATGAGCCTATGAGGGCCATTCTCATTCAAACCACCATAGTTAGATTTATTTCTGTCTCAGGTGGCATCTTCAATTACTAATTTGAGACTTTTTCTTTTAAATTTTATTTATTTATTTAGTGAGACAAGGTCTCACTCACTGTGTAGCCCTGGCTGGCCTGGAACATGCTATGTAGATCAGGCTGGCTTCAAACTCACAGATATATTTTTTTTATTTATCATCAGTGGCGCGCGCGTGCATGTGTGTGTGTGTGTGTGTGTGTGTGTGTGTGTCAGAGATAGAGGACTGTGGTGCATGTGCAGAGGCTAGAAGACAAGTAGCATTTGATGTGAATTTTCTTCAGGCAACATAAATTCTCATGTTTATATTCATTTCTAATTCTACTTGTGTCCTTCTTGATTTCTGTTTTTTGACTGGTATATTTAAAATATTTACACTTAATTCAACATTTATATTTAATAGGTGATATATTTGGATTTAGGATTAATCTTATTGTTTGTTTTCTGTTTTTCCCCGACTTTTAGTTCTATATTCCTTTTCTTTCTTTTTTTCTTGAGGGTTATTTGAACACGTTTTATTATTGTATTTAATTTATCCATTGTGGGCTTGATTACTTAAAATTTTATTACATTTATTTATTTTATGTGTGTGCACTCATATGCACATGCATAGAGGTCATAGAATAACTTATGGGAATTGGTTTTCTGCTTCTACTGTGTGGATTCCAGGGATTGAGCTCAGGTCCTTAGGCCTGCCAGTAAGGGCTTGTCCCTGCTGAGTCATCTCACAGGCCCTGACCACTTTTTCGGTTATTATTATTAGTAGTTAGCATATAAAGCAATAAGTTTTACTGGAATATATATATATGTATGTGTACATATATATGTATATACATATATATATATATATATATATATATATATATATCCACTTTTTTAGTAGTTAGCATCCCTCGTCCAAGGTGTTTGGAACTATAAATGTTTCAGATCTTAAGTTTTTTTTTTTTCATTTTAGAATATTTGTACAAGATATATAAGAATGAAACCCAAATATAAAGGCAAAATTCTTTTATGGTTCAAATATATCTTGTGTCTCTAGCTGATTATAGTTCTATTGAGTTTTTAGTATGCTTGTGTTTTCGCTGTGATCTGTTCCACAAAGTGAGATGTCAAGTTTTCCATTTGTGGCATCACATTGGGAGCTTAGAAAATTCCGGATTTTGGGGTACTTTGGGTTTGAGGTTTGGGGATAAAGGAGATCTGCACTGTATTTCTTTATAGTAGTTTTATTAGGAATTATAAGACATTTACATAACATCTTATGTCCTACTTAGAACTAACACTTTACTCACTTACAAAGCACGCAGTGAGAAAACAACCTAAAAATATGGGAGACTCAAAGTCTATGGCATGGTCCCCGTGTGCACTTTGGGGTGGGCCAGGGACCCACAGAAAATGAGTATGTTCTCTGAGTTCCATCCTTTCAGGGACCTATCTGGTCCTCTCTTATTCCCTGGGCACATTTTCATTTTTCTGGCCTGAAATCTGGGCCTATAGTGATCACCCTCTGCCCTGGTGGGGTGAGGAAAGTTGTAATGAGGACAGACTGGGGGGCTTTCTCCTCTCAGTCTTTGAACTCACAGCTCAAGGCTGTCTGTTCTGCCTTCCCTGCTCACTCTTTATTGTTCCTAGATTGGTCTGGGGCGTCAGGCAGGGTTCTGGTTTTTCTGGGGTTGTGGGGTGGAAGCCTACATAAAATCATTGGGTAGTCATTGCGTCTTTAAAAGTCCTGGCTTTTCTTGGATGGGGCAAAGAGCCATTATGTTTTTCATGCTAAAAATAAATTAATTTCTTGTCAAATATTACCAGAGATAATAATTATCTGCTTTTTTGGTAATTGCTATGAAATTCAGAACAACTTTTATTTGTGAATCTCTTTAAAACAAAAAGTTCATATAAGCAAATGCTATTATTTCAAGAAAATTCTTGGAACAATAAATCAACACCTGAAAATGCTGTGATATGATTTCCATTTAAATAGGCATTTAAAACATTTCCTTCCAAATTGTCTTCTCTCCCATAGAACTAAAAATTGATTTCTTCTTTTTATCCATCCAGGTGCCTGTTAGGGCTCATGGGTAACAGTGAATCTGTTTTCTTTCACGTCTCCCACTCGGGGTGGTAAGGCCCCCCCCCCCCCAGAGCAGGACAGATGGGAACAATAGAAACACCAGGCATTCTAAAACTGCAAAGGATTGATTGGTGACTTAACAAAGACCACCTCAGCGTGACATTCTCTGGAGAAATGCACAAGGCCACATAGAGAAATCCCCCTGCTTCCAAGTAGTTGGCCCATCCTGTTTCTGCATTCTCCTGGGACCAAAATGACCCTCATAAGAGACACTGGAAGGACTAATTTTCCTTGCTTTTTTTTGTTAAAGACAAGATTTCTCTATATAACACCCATTGTCCTAGAATATACTGTGTAGAGCAGGCTTGCCTCCTAAGGGCTGACATTATAGATGTGCACCAACAAGTCCAGCTTGCTTTTCTTATATTTAAAAGATTGGGATAGGAGAATTCTCTAAAAGAGCTTCCAGGAGTGCAGTTTTCTAAGTGGGCTTAGCAATATTTTTTTTTTTACATTTGTTTATTTTGCGTGTATAAGTGTTTTGTTCTCATATATGTATGTGTACCATGGGCCTGGTGCCCTTGGAAGTCCAAAGAGGTCATGGAGTTACAGATGGTTGTGAATCATCATGTAGGTACTGGGAACTGAACTTGTGTCTTCTCTAAGAGCGTCAAGTGCTCTTAACTGCTGAGCCATCTCTGCAGCCACGAAAGTGCATTTTTAAACATTTTTGACAGTACCATGTTTGTTTACAATACCCTATGATCACATTTACCTCCATCACCTTCTCATCCCTCTCCACCCCAGCCTCGTGCGGCTGTCACATCTGCTATGTTCATGACTGTAGTGGTCAAGTCACATTCAGGTGACAGAGCCCCACTGTGCCCCTCCACATCTTTTGGCTCACACAGCCTTCCCACCCCCTCTTCTACAATGTGCCTGCCTCTGAGAGAGTGACATAGGTGTCCTGTTTGGAACTGACCCCTCAGCAGCCACTTCTTCTCAGCATTTTGGCCCTTTATGGATCCCTCCCTGCTTTAACCACTTCTGAAAGAGGCTTCTCTGACCGAGCCTGAGTGTCACTAGTCTGGGGGTGTGAGCACAGATGATGAGAAGACAGTTTTACTCCATGTGTCTACTTGGTGTGACATCAGTAGTAGGTTCTCCCAAGGGGCCTGTGACTTCCCTAGCTGTAGGCTTTGATTCGCTCTACAGCACCAAGTATGTGTTTGAAGTTGGCCTCAAATCCAAGCTGGAGACAGTTGGTTTCCCCAGAACATCCATGCCACTGTTGTGCCATTGTGTGTCTCTTGCCAGGCAGTTCAGGACTGCAGAACCCTTGGTGTGATGTTAGTAACTTTTCTCCCCCAGCAGCCTGCACAGCGTCTTCTAGCCCTGTGAACGAGACACAGCAGGGAAGAATCTAATTTGGTTTCTGTGTCCTATATCTAGGGTGTGGGTGTCTAGTTCTACTGGGCATCCAAGAGCAACAGCAGTAGGCTGTATTGTGTTAGGGAGTCTCTGTGGGCTCCCTCACCAACAGCTCACTAGGAGGTATCCCTCACTTGGCTGGTTTTGAAAACCAGTGACTTCTGGAAGTAGTACTGACCACTCACGCAGAGTACTTCCATCCAAATAACTCCTTAAATTTTTTTAAAGTTAGCTCATAAGGGAGTGGGTTTCTATGTTTTTTTTTTTTTTCATATATAGGTTGACTTTGCTTTAGTCCTTTTCTCCCCTAGTCTTACCCACTTCTGCTTCCATGTGAAAAAACATGGAACACTCCACAAACGCCATTCTTGTGCAGGAGCCACGCGATCTTCTTTGATTTGTTCCAGTTTTACTATTAGCGCTGCAGAAGCAGGCATGGAAATGTTTTTTTGTTTTGTTTTGTTTTGTTTTTTTGGAAATGGGTTCTTGTATGAGGTTTAGGCATCTGAGAAGACAAACGCAGTATGGATCTTGGAATTTACTGAAGTCTTTCTTCAAATCTCTCTTCAGGTCTGCAAATGGTCTATGGCAAGAAATATTAGAGGCTCACCAGAGGCCATGGTCTCCTGACCACCTTCTCATTTGGCCGCATACTTGAGGGTTGTTTTTAGTCTTTGAGACGGGCTCACTAGACAACCTTGACTGGCTTGGAATTTTCCATGTAGTCCGAGATCTGCCCACCTCTGCCTCCTGAGTGCTGTGCCTGGCCTTACTTGAGTTTTATTCAAAACTGATTCAATACTACTTCTAGTAAGGCCCACCAAGCCTCTGCCATCACCTTGTTCTCTTTTCTTCCAGGCCAGCTGGGAGGAGACGACTTCCGGGATAAGCACGGAAACCCCATGTTGCCCGTGGGCGGTGCCTCCATTGCTTCCTCCCCAGCCCGCTGTTCTGCCAGCTTGTTCGAGGGTCCTGTACTGTTCTGTGAGCAAGAAAGGAGTTCTGCTGGGTCCGTTGGCACATTTTTCATATATTTGTGGGTCATTTGGACCTTTTGTATTCTGTAGTAGTACTTACTTGAATATTAATATTCGTACACTCTGAATGATTTCCCGGTTTCTTTTATATTTGAAACTTTTAAGATGGTGTCTTTGGTTATTTTTACTTAATGAAGCACCTGTCAATCTTTCGTTTTCAGCCTAAGACAAATCTTCCTCACTACAAACTTGCACATACAGCCTCTTCATTTTCTTCTGCATAAAAATGTGTGGACGAAGCAGAGGGAGTCCAGGTCCAGCGAGCCCTTCCTCCTCAGCTCCCAGCCAGGCTTCGAACCCAGCTTGCCTTGTGATTGAGTGTGCTCAGGCTGTTAACAGAGTTCTGCCCAGTGGAGTGTGGCAAGAAGAGAAAGGCAGTGTTCTGGGCCTTGCCTGAGTGGTGGACAGGGAGGATGAAGTCATCTGCTGAAGATGCCGGGACCCTGCTGCGGAAATCACAGCAGCACACACTTGTGTCGCACACTCAGTGGTGGAGGTGAGCGGCGGCCATGGTTGTTTTCAGCACACCTTGTTTGATCACCAGTTTGGAAAGTGACACAGAGACAGAAGCTCAGATTGAGGAAGATGGATGAAAGCCATTTTAACCATCACAACAGCTTTCAGCTACGGAAAAGTCTCCGTGAGTGTTATTAGCCAGTACTCACCAACCACGCCGTCACGATGCAGCTAATGAGGCTGAGCACTAATGGCCCGGGAACAATGAGGCAAATTACTAAGTTCTGCTAAAATGTTTCTCCACTTATCTTCAATTATTCAGATCCAATCTAATTTCCTTCAAAATTAAATGCTGGGGCTCCAGTTAACTCGTGTGACTGAACATTTAACAACAGATGCCTTCTGTACCTGCACGTGACGACTTTGCTGAGAAAGAACAGGGCAGGCTTACTCCCCATTGTCTCTGAAATACAGCCATTTCCTAGACATGTTAAGATGGCGTGCTACAGGAGGCGCGTAGCTGGGGCTTTGTCCCTGAGTGCTAGGACCTAGGGAGCCTCCAAACTGCCTTCTCCCCGACTCTGCTGCCCTCCACCCACCTCACCGCTTCTTCAGCAGCTGTCCCAAGCTCCTGGGCACTTTTGGCTAAACCACTGGGCCTCTGGACACAGACAAAGCAAAGACCTGAGGTGGAAGTCTGAGATGAGAGAGCACTTATGGGTAACAATACACATTCAGTTTTCACTGACAGATGCCACAGAGTTTTCACAGAGCTGGATGCCAGGGTGGGCTTCTGGGGTCTGGATCCATTGGTGTGTGGTCTCAGCTATGGCTCCACATTCAGGAGCCAGGCACAGCTAGTTGTCAGAAGAAGAATGCTGAATAGCTTGGTGCTCTTCCCACCTGAGCTTCTGTGGACTTACGGGCACCGCTGATCTGTGTGCCGTCCATCTTTCCTCTCTTTCTTTATCTCCTGTTGCTCCTTTGCTATAATCTGGTCTTTCCTGGTCTCTTCATTTTCCTTTGTAACATTTCCTTTCCCTCTGAGGCTCCAGCTGTATTATCATCTTGCTTAGGAAAAATTGCATTTAATAAAACCAGAACTATCCCATTTAATAGTGTTCCAGTGGGAACAACCTGCCTTAATGAAGTTAAGAGTGTTTCAGGTGGCATGACTTTTCTTCAGAGGGCATGACGTGATTTCTTCGAAGGGACAGTATGCTCATTTTAGTCCTCTAAGGCCTTCAGGCCCTCCATGCAGTCGATTCTCCACGTTCTATGGAAGAGGCACACAGTGAATGAAGAATTGCAATCATTTGGCATTAGATTTGCACTGTGATTTATTTTATTAATTAGCCTGAGTTTTTACTTGTAGTACTTAGTTTTCCCTAGAGTCCACAACAAGCTCTTCTAAGTCCATCTAGAACCAGGTGGACTTAAGATGAAGTGAAAGGGAAATAAAAACCCTTCCCAAGTAGACAATTCCACATGCAGCCTGTCGGTCTGCAAATCTATCTTCCTGTAGCCCAAAGAGAATTATGAGGGTCTAGGCGTGGGGGTGCAAGCTTGTAACCCCGTACTCAGGGGCCAGAGCACAAGATTGCCTTGCGTTCAGACTCAGCCATGTCAGCCTACTGAGCTCTAGCCAGGGCTGCACAGCAAGATCTCATCTCAGAACAAAACCAGTGGAAACCACAGCAAGAACTGGGGAGAATGTCAGCTCTGGCTCCCCGCTTGGCACACTGTGCCTTTTGATGACCAAATGCCCTTTGTCCAGTGTGGAACTTTGTCGACACAGTCACTGGTGTGGATGACTCTCCATGTGCCAAGAACAATACTTAAGACTCTACAGGATTTATCTCATTTAAACCCCATGTTATTTGCTGTCTGCATTTTCAGATGAGGTTCAGAGAGGTTAATTATCCCACCCAAAGTCACACAGTCACACAGCCTCTCTTGACCTCAGCTTTCAAGATCTGCTGCCTGTTTCCTCCTCCTCCTCCTCCTCCTCCTCCTCCTCCTCCATCCTTTTGGTTTTCTGAGACAGGGTCTTACCATGTAGCCCAGGCTAGTCTGGAACTCACTATGTAGACCAGGCTGGCCTCAAACTCTCAGAGATCTGCCTACCTCTGCCTCCCAGGTGCTGGGACTAAAAGTGTGCACCACCATGCCCAACTGCTTGCTGCTAGTGTTCTTAAATTTTTCCCCAGTTGCCTCTGACTTCTTTGATGAAGAAAAACATCCAGCATTTAAAAAGTGGATCTTGGGCTCAAAGCACTGCGTTGGATGTGGAGAAAGCAGGCGTTGTTATGGGTGGGTTCCCCGACCTGAGAAGTAAACTGGTTTGTTTCACCAGGATGCTTCTGAGGAACAAGTGAAAGTACAAACTGCTGGCGGGATGGCTCAGGAGGTAAAGGTGCCCACTGCCAAGCCCAGCAGCCTGAGTCAGGTCCCGGGAACTCACGGCCGGAAGGAGAGAACCAGCCGCTTCTTGCTGTTCTCTGATTTCCACACTTGTGCTCTGCCATGCATGCACATAAAATAAATAATATAAAAATAAAAAGGAAGCAAGGTTGGTATTTTTCTCACCCTTGAACTTGATGGTTTTATCTGGCCCTGAAATTTATGCCAGGAAAAACTCTAACATAAATTTTTTGTTGAAGTAGTGTAAACAAACAAAAAATAAAAGAGGCAAAATGTTTAGTGTTCAGAAAATACAGTCTCCAAGGACCATGCTCTCCTTCTGTGGGTCTGCACATTTGTTTGCAGCCGAAAGCTGATATTTGCACCACCAGCCTCTGAGTTCAACACAGAAGCCAACGATTTGGCTTCAAAGCAGCATTAATGAATTAGTGCAGAAATTTCAGTCAGAGCTAACAGTCTGAATTCCCCTTCCATTCCTGTTTTAGAGGCCCAGGGACCTTTGAGATTCAAGATGAAACAAAACTGACTTTGATTAGTTTTAAAGCATTGCTCTGCTCTTATCTATACCCTCCAAGTCTAGGGCCTGGTAAACATTCTCCTTCATTCAGCAAGCGTTTATGGGCTGTCGGCCCTGTTCCTGCGTGGGGAGGACAGTGGCCACTGAGCAGACCTCGGCTCTCTAAGTGACTTCGCCTCGGTTTGATGCACACTTGCCCGAGGCTCTCTGATGTGCATTATGGATTCTATTCAGATATCCCTAACTCTTTCTTGTATAAAACACACAACGGTGGGGTCCCTGGCATTTTCAGAGAACCTGTGTGGTTCTTGTTGGAAAAATACTCTCACAAAACCAGAGTCCAGTGGTCAGGACTCTTGGTGATAAATAGTGTGTTGTGACAGAAAAATGATCCCGCTTCTCTCCCTTTGGTAAGAAAGACGTGCATTTCTGAGAGCATTATGAAATGATTTGGTTTTCCAATACATTATCATGAATTAGTGAAATTGGTTATGGACTTAATTATGCTTTTCTAAAAAAATGTTTTTAGTCTGCTCTCAAACATTTTGAAGTGGACCTTGATTATAGTTACCAAATTGTATGTAAGTGCCCTGCGCTTATCACGGAAGGGCCACAGGTGGAATGTAGCGGGGCTGGAGAGGAGGGTAATGGAAAAATCCTCTGCTTGAGTTTGCTGCTTAAATGTCATGGTCGGTAAATGGATTTCTCTGCTTCCTGGGACTCGCTTCTCCTGCATTAGCCTGGCAGCAATTAGAGGGCCGAGATCGCCCTGGAAATGGGCTTGCTCGACCATGTGGTTCATCTTTCTATTGTGCAAAACAGAAAAAATTGCTTCTAATCAATCCACTTCAACTTTTAGTCGGAAAATTATTTACCATCCCATCAGCTGAAGTACCAAGAAATGTTCTGTTTGAATTAACTGGGGGGAAGAGGGACTCGTGTCAATCAGCGGGCTGCAGTGACAGCGGCGCAGTCTCACGATGGAGACAAGAAAGAGACGACATTATTCCTGGTTTCCTTGCCCAACTGATTGGTGCTTTTAGGGCAATTAATCCTCATTTCAAGTATAATTGGACTCTTATTGATTGAAGCAGCAATGTACGATGTGGTTGCTGTAACATGGAAAGATAGGCTTTCTTCCAAGCAGAACACCGTTAATTTTGAACTTCAGATCTTTTGCATTTCATTCACACAGTTGATCAATCCCCCTGCTTTGCAGCTGACTTAAGATGTAACATTTTAAGCCGGGCGGTGGTGGCGCACGCCTTTAATCCCAGCACTCGGGAGGCAGAGCCAGGTGGATCTCTGTGAGTTCGAGGCCAGCCTGGAGTCCCAGGAAAGGCGCAAAGCTACACAGAGAAACCCTGTCTCGAAAAAACAAAAAAAAAAAAAAAAAAAAAAAAAAAAAAAGATGTAACATTTTGTGATATTGTTACTTTTTTTCAGAAGTATCGATTATCAGGGAATTTTTACTGATTTCTGCTTTGCATATCAGTTTAGTCACTGACTTTCCAAAGCGGAATGAGTCACACGGCTGTGTTCTAATGAATTTCAGATAGTGTGAATTAAACATTGACAAAAATCTGAGAAAACAAAACTATGTGTGAATTACAAGAGTAGACACATTAAAATTGTGCTTTAACACAGCTACCTTCATTAAGGGAAAAAACCCAGCTCAGGCTGAGCAGCTAGGGATGCTGGGAAAGCAGGACCAGCAAAGGGCGTTTGTGGGAAGTGGGTCCTGAGTCTGTGCTGGAATCTGGTGCCGGGAAAGAGGCTTCCTTCACAGCTCCCTAAATAACTATTGTTTGTCTCTTGGGTGACTGGAGATTACCACAGCAGCAAGCATGCAGGTTTCTAAGCAGATCATCTTAACAGACACGAATACATGCACACATGATTTTTTGGTCAGCTTAGTGACTGTTCATGAATTTACTGATACTTCAGTTATCGTCTGCCGCCCCACAGTCCCTCAGTCAGCACTCTGCCTGCCACTTAGCCACTTAACCACGGCCTGTCGGGGCTTCCGGTCCAAGGGCCCTGGCTCTGTCATAGCTGTGATATGTACGTTTAAATTAAGTCTCTATCAGTCTGTTTATCAATACGGCTCAGAAGTCAAAGGCTGGGGTGAAAATCTGCTAGCTCAGAGAGGCTGAGTAGCATCTAGCTGACCCTTCTTTTTGGCCGGAGACACCACAAGAGACCGGTCTCTTTCCTGGCCTCAGAACCTAGAGAGCTCAAACTGTAGTCCATGTCACTCCCCCTCCCCCTTGGGTTCCTTCCTGTGGGTCTTCTGTATCCAAGTTGCTGGCTTCTCTACGGCCAATTCAGGTCAGTTAGTCACTGGCTCCACCCCCTGATTCAAGGTATAACTTTACTGGGCAGTCTTGGGAGTGTCAGAGTACAATCAAAATGTCCCACAACACACATACACACACACCTACACACACACCTACAAACACATACATATATGTGTGTATATATTCTTTGGAAGAGACAGTTTACCTCCTTTAGATCAATGTTGATTAACAATAGGGGTATAAAGCCATATCTGATGACAGTGCCCTGTCTTATTTAAGCAGAGGTTTAAATTCTAGGCACCCATTTAACAGGAAAACCCTCAGCCTTTGTAAAAATTAAATAGAATCCCAATGAAGACATTTCTGTTCTGCCTCTAAGGCCACTTTAAGTGCTGCTTTCCACTCACTGGCTTTTGCTTGGCACACTGACCTTGGCTCCCCCTCATTCTCAGGGCCACACATGGCATCAATGTTCATAAAGCTTCCTCCTTCTTACAGAAGAGTTTAGCTGAAGTGGACTAGTGCTCACGGTACACAGGGTGCTGCCTGAACTGGGGGCTCCTACCGCTTCTGCCTTCTGCATCTAGGGCTTTGTCAGAGCTGACATGGCACCCCAAAAGAAGCAAAATAAAAGACCCAGGGAGAGCTTCCAGATGTATAGCTGGAATCTTAAAAGTTCTTATTAATAAAAACAAACTCAGGGCCAGGTATTGGGGTGAACACTGGAAGATCAGAGAAGCAGAACAAGCCACAACTAACCTCACCTTGCCAATTCCTCAGCTGATCCTGTTTCCTCAGACTGGAAGCCTATGAGTCCTCATCCAAATGGATCTCAGCTGAACTGCTGCTCAAAAGCCTAAAAGCTTAACCAGCTCTAGTTCCTGGTTTTCACGCCTTATATACCTTTCTGCTTTCTGCCCTCACTTCTTGGGATTAAAGGTGTGAGTCACCATGCCTGGCTGTTTCCAGTGTGACTTTGAACTCACAGAGATCTGGGCGGATCTCTGCCTCCCAAGTGATAGAATTAAAGGTGTGAGTGCCACCATTTTCTGGCCTCTGTATCTAGTGACTGTTCTGTTCTCTGACCCCAGATAAGTTTATTAGGGTGCACAATATTTTGGGGAACACAATATCACCGCACAGATGCTCAGTGTAGATGTGACCATTGCTGTTGATGCAGGTGGAGGGTGGCCTAGGGATGCTTACATGGAGTTTTGCCGCTTGCGGGTTAGGTTTGAATGCTTGTTCCCAGGCCTCCTCTGTCCCCAAGACTTGTGTCCTTTAGAGCCGATCCCAGATCACCATCTCTGTGGAGTCTTTTTCCCTGATTGCGAAGATGAGATTGCTGGCAGACCCGAGGCTGTGCTAACATCTGAGATCACCTTTCATACGTCTCCCTCCCGTCTGTGTATCAAGTCCATTGCAGAAAACACAAGGTATGGATAATTACAAATGAAGTAAGATCGTCAGTCTACGCGGAACACAATGGGGATTTTCAAAGAGGATTTTCCTTTTAAGCCTGCATGTGAAGTTCAAGTGTTATACGTGTCCAAGTCAGACCTGTAGAAGACATTGGGAGGTGACAGGAGCGGGAGTCACCAGCACCCCACCCTATCTAGCCCCTTCAGTGAAGAAGTTTCTACCTCCAAAGATGCCCCCAGAAAGAAAGCTGGAGTGTGGGGGTGTTGACACCAGGTTAGCTCTCATTACACAGCTCCAGGGCAAGAGCATGCACACGCATCAACAAGTCAGTGTCCCACACGAAGAAGCGACCGCTCATCCTGTCGTCGCTCAAATGTTTTGTTTGCTGGGAAGTCAGGCTTGGAGTGGGGCGGGGTTCCTCGGAAAATGCAAAAGAACTAAAACTTTGTGCCATTCGTTTTACAGTATAATTCCATCCTCCCTCCTTCTCTCCTTCCCCTCCCCCGTCGCCTCCCCTTTTCTTCTTCCCAGAAAGTATCCCTGGCAGGCAGCAAATTCTTAGACACCCGCAGAGGAGGGAACACGTGCCGCTGGCCAAAGGGCACAGGATTTGCGGCGTGAGCCACTCCAGCCCTCCCTACCCCGCCCCATAGCTTCGCTTTTTGTTGGGTTGCTGCGGAGCATTAAAACTGCTGCTGAAGTTTTCCTTTGCTCCTCCTGGGCACCCGTATTCGGAATGGAGCGAGGGCCAAGTTGGATCCGGTGTCTCAGGCAGCCGGGTGCAGGGGCCTGCGCTCTTTCTGTCTGAGATGGGAGTAGCCGAGCTGGGTAGGCTTGGCCTGATGCTGGTGGTGTGTAGGAGAAGCAACCCAGGAGCCCTTGGTAATGGGAACCACTGTTCTCCAGTCCCTTCCCAGCTGGGTTAGCCTGGGCTGCTCAGCTATCTCGGGACGGATGACGTCATGGGACAACGGGGGCTGGGAACTGGAGTCCCCAGCATCCCATGCCAAAAGTTTCTGCCCCAAAAGCTGCCCCCAGGAAGGGCG